CACACCCTTCTTCATACTCTGCTCCAATTGTATTCTGCCTGGCATCTGAAAATGCTGTTTTTTCCATGTAAATAACTACCTCTCACTGAAACCTACGGGATAGGCAGAGTCCTCTGAAGGTGGCATATATGTCCTCATGTTTGAGATAATGAAATTAGGGTCCAGAGTGGTTAAATAATTAACCCAGGGTAACACAGCTTTTAAGTAGCAGAGCTGGGATTCAGATTAAGATCTTTCCAACTTTAAAAGTCTTGGTCTCTCCGGGACTTGCCTGGAGGTCCAGTGGTTAAGACTCCATGCTTCGACAGCAGGGGGTGTGGGTTTGATCCCTGGTCGAGGAACTGAGATCCCACATGCCGTGAACTATTTCCATTTTTAGCACTGAAAAGTCCCATGTCCTGGGAAACCCCTCATTCCCCAGCAAACTGGGATAGCTGACTACCCTGCCGCTGCCTTTTGCTATTGATGCCAATTCATCTTTCACTCATGAGTTCTTCCTCCGCCTCCTCCAGGAAGCCTTCCAAGACCACCTCACACCCCCAGAAGTATATTTCCCCTCTCCTGTCACATTCCTGGACCTACCTCTAGCCTGAAAAATCACCTGTGTCAAAATAACGTGTCTGCTTATTAGTCTGTCTTGTTACAGGATGAATTTCTGACTTTTGGAACCCAGGCCTGTTCATGTCTGTGGCCCCAGGGCATGACAAGGAGTAGGGGCTCAGTTCAATTCGTGTTTGTGCGATAAATGGGCAAATCTGACCAGGGCTATGCTATGGGTAACCAGGAGGCCAGGATCTCCTGAGAAAAGTGGTTTCCAGAAATAATTCTGCAGTTAAAAAATTCCAGAGTGGGTCTTGTCTGGAGTTCCCTGGTCAGCAAGCGTGACCAAAGCATTTGCTCTGCTTGACACTCACAGGCCCTATCAGATCTATAAGTACAAATCTGACCCAACCCCTCTGCTGCTGGCTTTTAAGCCCATTGGCATGTCCAATGCCCTCCTTACAAACTTCTGGGAATGTTGGGTTGTGGACGCATTTATACAACTGTCCCGGGAGAGGAAGAGGATGGGAAGGAAATATGCAGCGTTTACAACTCTCTGCGCTGAAGTCTCGGAAATGATAGTGCTTGATCTCAGCACCCCCTGGAGGAAACTGTTTCTCCACCCCACACCTTTCACCCCCACTTCCCCTCCGAGGAGACCCGCTGCCCAGAGAGGAGAATGAAGGTAGCTTTGCTCTAACCTGGATGTTCCGGCCCTGGTGAGCAGGCAGACGTGAAACAAGAATGACAGAAGAAGAGATGCCCCATTGTTCGGTGTAAGAAACAGTTCAGATTCAGACTTGTTCTGATTTATCCAAACACGTCCCACTGCTCTGACGTGCACCTTCCGGAATCAAAACCTGACATGTGTCAAAACACCAGGACCACCGCCCCCCAGTAGCACTTGACATCTCTCTCCCTGCAGAGGGGACCGATACTCCATCCAGCCACCACCTCTCCTTTCTGCCTTTGCCCCATGATGAAAGCTCTCCTCCCACAGAGACACTCTGGAAGCGCTTGAGGAAGTAATAGTGAATAATAGTAATTTTAGCTCTCGGGACAAATACAGAAGAGGAAAGTTCAGGGATGAGAAGAGATGATGGAAGTGGGGAAAACTGGTGCCCAGAAAACTCAGGAGTGAGGCCCACAGCTTCCTGGGCCAACCATATATTTGAATTGACAATCATCAGAAGGAGAGTAGGTTTATTATTCCTCAGTATGCATAGCATTTGAGTCACAAATGTTCATTAGGTCCTGTTGAGCTCAGTACCCAGATTTGGGGTAGGAAGGGTCGTGATTATTAGTCCCACCACGTAGATGGCAAATTCGAGGTGCAGGAGGGGTATGCAATGTACCAGGTCCACAGCTGGTGAGAAACGGAGCTCACACTTAAACCCAGCTCTGTCTCACTCCAGATCTCTATTGTAGGGCAACACTCTTGTAACCCTTACTGTGCTGCAGGCATTGTTCTCCTGTTCTCTCATTGAATCTTTCTCATGGCCCTGGGCTCCCCTCTTTGCTCCACTGGCATCTCCTTCGGCCCCTTCCCGCATTGCCAAACGTCCTGACAGGCGTCTGTGACAAGTGAGCATTACCCAACTTACCGCACAGCCTCCCTGAGAACCAGGTGGATGTGGGAGACTTCGTATCTCCTAATTGGGTTTCTCCACCCACTTGAGCTGGTACATATTCTGAACATCCTCTGTGTGCCAGGCCTGGAGTCAGGGACCATGGAGCTCAAGTCCAGACACACCCCCAGCCCCACGACCTTGGCCAGTTCACCCCCACGTGCCATCTGAATCCCAGCAATCCAGCGAGCCGAGCTGGAACCTCCCAGGAGGGAAATGTGGGAAAGTTCAGGCTGCTGGGAAAGCCTGAGGGGGAAGCAGGGGGATGCTGAGGTCAAACACGAGATAGGCTCAGAGGATCGTATCCAGTGGCCCGGCTGGCGGAGAATTTAGGTGCCCGCCAGCCAAGGAAGTGGTTTGGGCATTTGTGACGGCACTGCCTGTTCACACCACAAGATGTAAACATCCATTCGGCAAGATGGACAGCCTCTCACCACATTTGGAAGACTTCTTTTCACTGAATCCCATTGGCTTTTAAAACTTTTTAAAATACGTTATGACTTTGCAGGGCATTTGAAAGAGTTTAAAGCAGATGGGCCCACAGACAGGACAATGGTCTCTCTTCTGTAAGGGCAGAGCAAGGAAACTCCTACAGGGACCCTTGCCCACCTGTGGGGACTGAACCGCCTCATTGCCAGGACTCTGCCAAACTCCCTCCCTCCTTTAAAGTCTTCCTCGGAAAAGCCAGCACTCAGCCAGGCACTGGAATGGCGGAGTCAGTGGTTGCTACGAGGCTGACTCTGCAGGTGCAAGGTCAGCTCTCGTTGGGAGGGCAGCCACCCTCCAGTCCGGTCCCAGGATTCGGCTCACCGTGGAAACTCTGCTGCGCAAGCCTCATGGTCTCCCCAGTTTCCTTGGTTCAAAGAAATACAATCTCCCTTGCTCTAGGAGAAACCTCTGCTCAAAGAGGAGAAGAGTTTGGTCATGGGTGTGAGAAGCTCACCAGGCTTCATTTCTTCTCCACACCCTGCCCACATAGCCACCCTCCCCCAGGGAAGCCCAGATGGAGGGGCTGGACCTTTCAAAAGGACTCTCAGGTTGTCCAGAGTCTGAGGAACATTCTGCTGCTCTTCTGGCCCTGGCCTTACCCCTTTCTGGTTTCTCCAGCTGCTGGAGATGGGGATATAATGATTACCCCTCCCTCAACAGTCAGGATCTAGGAGATCATGATTCCACTCACTCTCCAAGCACTCCAGCCTTAGAGAGCGTCATGTTTAAAAACTAAAAATCCTGTAGAGAAAGTACTATCTGCAATTACACAATCACCCAATTCCACAGGTGGGCATTTGCCTGGCTGGTGGGTTACCCACAGGCTTGTAAGGGAGCCCGGAGCATGCCCTGTCCCGGCATCATAAGGGGAAGGGTAGGAAATGAGTCTGGTTGGTGTCAGAAGGCTGCTCGTTTATCTGGAGCCTCCCTCCTGGGTGGCTGGAGAGGGAGTTCTTGGAAATGGAGGACCACACCCTGTTGGGAAGAAACAGCAGAGCACCGAGGGGGATGCTGCAGGGAGGGGCACCCTCTGACTCCGGGGCGGGGGGCGGGGGGAGGAAAGCTGTTGTCTGTACAAACTGGGCCTCTGACGTGCTGACTGCCAGGACACTGATGTGATTTCTGAGGCAAGAGAGAGGCCCTGAAAGAACCCACCACGCCCACCCGCCTTGGTGATGGAGAATTCCCCAAGGTGGGCTGCCGCTTCACGCCTACAGGAGAGAGGAGCACAGCCACTTAACGCTTTTCCTAAGGAGAGTGAGCAACTTCTGAAAGCAGATCTTATTCATTAGAAAGAGGTAAACTCCAGAATAATGTCAAAGAGGACCAGAAAGGTATACAAAAGTTGAGACACAACCACTTTATCCATGGGATGTCCAGTGTGTTCCTTACCTAGAAGTAAGGACTGGAATGGCTACAAAGTGGGGGCAGGGTGGGTCTCTGTCCCAAGAACAGTCTCTGGCATTTTGTAGGCAAGGCACAGAGATCCAGAGAAAGCTAGCTCTAACTGAGAGAAGAGAGGAGGGGAGAATTTTAAGAATTTCTTGAAAACCCTAATGCCTTCTACCACCGGTACCTACTTATCCATGAAATGCCGCCATTGGCAGTACAATTCTTTGAGATATAACAAGACTGGGCCCCCAAACCCAACAACACTACCCCAGTTGGCACCCAGTGGTATTATTCCCAAATTCCCAGCCCCCAGAACCTTGGAATTAAGATAAAAGCCACTGATAATACCGTTATACATTGTTTCCCTCTGCTGCATTTCCTTAGCAAATCATTCCTTCTTGGTGTGTAACTGACTTAAAAATCTTTGATTAGGGCTTCCCTGGTGGCGCAGTGGTTGAGAGTCTGCCTGCCGATGCAGGGAATGCGGGTTCGTGCCCCGGTCCGGGAAGATCCCACATGCTGCGGAGCGGCTGGGCCCGTGGGCCGTGGGCGCTGAGCCTGCACGTCCGGCGCCTGTGCTCCACAACGGGAGAGGCCACAGCAGTGAGAGGCCCGCGTACCGCAAAAAAAAAAACAAAAAACAAAACAATAGTGTAGTCTTGGGACAGGGTCCTGGTTCCACCTCAGGGATACACATAACAATATCTTTGAGCTCTTTACAGAACTAAAAAACCCCCAACAATTGAAAGGTGTTAGTATTCTTCATTCCAGATTAAAGGAACCAGAGAAGCCCATCAAGATTAGGAGACCACCTGAGGCCAGAATAAAGGAGCGCAGGCCCTGCACACACCTTAATCTCATCAGCAACCCCACCCTTAAATATTGCTATAAAACTGCTCACCAAGTCCTCCCAGGTTGGGACACACAGTTTTCAAGGGCAGGAACTTGCTGTGTGCCCCTTTGTCTGGCAAAGTAATAAAGCTATTCTTTTCTACTTCACCCAAAACTCTGTCTCCGAGATTCAATTCAGCACCAGTGCACAGGGGCAGAGTTTTTGGCATCAGTTCCAAGAAAAAGGAGCACAACTCAGGCTAAGTCTTGGGATAAATGAAGCCGCACCCTGGGAGGAAAGTCACATATTCTCCTGGCGTTGATTCAACCAGTCCGGAGCCCCAACACATGCTGGGCATTCAGGGTAAAACGAACAAGACAGGTGCTGTTCCCGCCTTCTCGGACCCATATTCCAGACATCCCCCAAAATATTTCCACCAGTCCATGAGACAAATTACACAGGATGGCTGGCAGAGAACCTCTGGGAATTATTCATGCATAAGACAAAATCTGCCACATAAGGGACAGCAGTTCTGACTTTTATGGTTCAAAACCGATTGACCAGGACTTGTTGGAAGAGGGTGGATAAAGCATTACCAATATGTACGGGTGATGCGGTGGGGCGGAGGTCAGATGGAGAACAGAGTGTCTGACTACTGAGCAGACTGAACCATGCTCATTAGCAGATCCATTGTTTGTATGCACGCGGACAGATTCTTCCAAAGTGTATCCTTATTCATCCAAAGTTAGATCAGAATTCAAACTTTGCACAGTGGGCACAGAAATGACTTCATGTGCTATTTATTTTTAATGTGTAAATAAGCCAGCAGACAATAAAATAACAAAGAAAATGTTCAAGCCTGCACAAACATAAGCAAAGTATAGACTTTAAATTTTTTTCAGGTCATGAGGGCAAACCCCTCCTCAGTCAGCCTCCTCCCATGTTTAGGAAGCACCCCTCAGACCCACACCAAGTGGCAAAATGTTCAAATCCAAACTGCATGCTCCTCAGTCATTCGGTCCCAGTGAATGTTACGCGAAGATCCTTTGGTATCTCACAGCCCCTTCCTGTCATCCCAGATCCGCCATCACGTAAACCCAGCTTAGTCTAGTGTCTCTGCCACTTGACATGACATCACTAGAAGAGCATGTCATCTGCGCCTTCACAGCCACCGGGTGCTCTGAGATGTCCCAGGACTCCAGCTTCGGGTGGAGCCAGGTTGCGGAAAGAGTGAGTGATTATGAGTGGCTGATTGAACCCAATGTAACGGATGAAGGGGACCCAGAACCCCTAGGGCTTTGGCCACGGAATACTCCACCTCAGCTCAAGGTCACTGGTTAGCTGCCCTGTAGCTGTTCGCTGGATTCAAGTGCAGGGGTGGCAGGGAGAGAGGCTTGCCCAGGAGCCTGTTGGGGTTTTGCACAGCAGGTGCTCGCCTGGTGGATAGCGCAGGCGGCAGCCTCGCTGGTGGCAGGCAAAGTCCCGGAGCTTGGGCTGGGCCCGCAGTGCTGGGTCTTCTCCATCATCCTCCTCGCCCCAGGGGACCAGCATAAGAGACCGCATGCTGAAGAGCGGCCAGCAGGGCCAGAGGAAGGCACATGCCACCAAGAATGAAGCCAGGCATACGCCAGACTGCTTTCCCCGCCCCGCCCCGTCCCCTCTGCGCCGCCGACTCAGGGCCCATCCGCAGCCCTGAATCCCACTCTCGCCGACTGGGGAACTCTTCTGGGCCGCGGCATTCCCAGCAACTAGAGCTCACCTTCCCTACAAGGCCGCTGCGTTTGCCAGTGGGTAGGAAGCCTCTCACCCAGAAAACACGAGGGCCCCCGCTTTGAGGCTCACTTGGGGGCTGCTTGGAACCAGTTGCAGGGGAAATCTCGATATCTGAGTCTCCATCAGGCACCCTTGGGGTACACGAATCAGGGCCAGATGGATTAAATTACCCTTGAAATGTGAGCAAGATGACGGTCCAGTCTGGGAAGGAGGGCATAGGCATTTGGGGTGGAGATGCCTAGGCATGTGATGCTGGGCACAGCCTGAGAGAGAACTGCTGAACGTGGTGACAAAGCTCCCAGCTGTGCCAAGTTTGGGAGTTAGCACACGGCTTTGGGCTGGAGACGCAGGGACGCGATTACCAGGAGGCATGGCCCGAGTTGGGGATCAGAGCATCCGAAGGTCTCTGGCGCCCAGGCCGTAGCCTCCACTCCAGGCGCTGCTGGCGGGTGGGTCCAGGTGCCTGGTGCAGAGCCCTTAGCCAGAAGGTGGACGTGCGTGCTGCAGGAGAGGCAGTGACGAGGGGTGGATGGCGGCGGGGGGCAGCAGCAGCAGAGCCCAGCTGCAAGGAGGGCGCTGGGCTCTTAGCCAGATGACAGTGAGCAATCTGTCCTTCCTCTGGCCCAGCCCCACGCTTTTTGCCCCCCTGGTTCACTCACATTTCCATGTCTGCCCCACCAGACAGTGTGTGTGCATCCCTGGAAGAGAGCAAACCTGAAGTGGAGCTGGTACTCAGTAAGAGGGTGTTGAGTGAAGGAATCCATCAGACTGAGAGCCCCCGGCCCCATCTCAGGGCTGAGGCCTGGAGCATCTGAAACTGGAGTGTGGGTTCTTAGAGCTTCCCTCCTGAACCCCCCCCCCAGTGATCCCAGGACTAACACAACCTCTCCAGCCGCCCTCTCTGGCAGAGCTCGACGGACACAGAGGGCCCAGGGGCTGACGCCGCACAGCCTCCGCTGGCCAGGCAGGTGGGCCTGGGGCACGATGCTCCTGATAAGAAGGTTGCCCACAAGAACTTTTCCTTCTAGCTTCCTTCCTCAGTGACTTCCTTCCTGCTAGCTTTAAAAGCCATCTCTGAGGGACTTCCCTGGTGGCGCAGTGGTTAAAAATCCGCCTGCCAATGCAGGGGACACGGGTTCGAGCCCTAGTCCGGGAAGATCCCACATGCCGCGGAGCAACTAAGTTCATGTGCCACAACTACTGAGCCTGTGCTCTAGAGCCCACGAGCCGCAACTACTAAGCCCACGTGCCACAACTACTGAAGCCCGCACGCCTACAGCCCGTGCTCCGCAACAAGAGAAGCCACCGCAATGAGAAGCCCACGCACTGCAACGAAGAGTAACCCCCGCTCGCTGCAACTAAAGAAAGCCCGCGCACAGCAACGAAGACCCAGTGCAGCCAAAAATAAATAAATGGATTAATTAATAAATTAATTAGTTAGTTAAATGCCATCTCTGAGAGTTGATGACTTACAAATACCTATCCTCTGCCTGGTCCTCTTTGCTGAAATCCAGACCCAACTAACCAGCTGCCTACTTGGACGCCTGGGAGTCTAATGGCATCTTAATCTTAACATGTCCCTGCCTAGCCAGCCACACCTGTGCTCCTGAAGCCTTGCCCTTCTCAGTAAACAGCAACACCACTCCTCTAGCTGCCAAGCTAGGAGGGTTAATTTTATGTGTCAACTTGGCTGGACCACAGCGCCCAGTTATAGGCTCAAACATTATTCTGCGTGTTCCTGTGAAGGTGTGTTTTGGGTGAGATTAGTCTTTAAGTCAGTGGATGTTGAGTGAAGCAGATTGCCCTCCCTAAGGTGGGTGGGCCTCAGCTGAATGCCTGAACAGAATAAAAACAGACCTGCCCCAAGCAAGAGAAAATTCTGCCAGCAGGTGACCTTCAGGCTTGAACTGCATCATCAGTTCTTCCCTAGGCCGTTAGCTTGATGGCCTACCTGCAGATTTTGGATTTGCCAGCCTCCATAATCCTGTGAGCCAATTCCTTCACGTCTTAATGGTTCTGTTTCTTAGAACCCTAGTACACAAGTCACAAGTCCTGAGGTCGGCCTTGACCCCTCTCTCCCACACCCGAGATCTAATCCAACAACAAATGGTATCAACTCAACCTTCTAACTGTGCCCAGACTGACAGCTTTGTGTGACCTCCACTGCTCACCACCGCAGAGCGGGCCACCGTCATCTCCCACCTGGATTACCACACCTGTTGCCGGGGCCCCCTGTTTCCGCCAAAGTGATTTTTTAAAAACCCAAGGCAGATCATGTCACCCTCTGGTCAGAGACCTCCATTTCATTCACTCAAAGCTGACCTCCTTACACAGCCCTAGACAATCTGCCCGCCACCCCACCTAGCACCTAGCACCGCTCTGAACTCACCTCCTGCTCGTGCCCTTCTAGCTACATCCACTTCTTTGCTGTTCCTTCAACACACCAGGCGTATCCTGCCTTACGGCTCTCTCTTCCTGGTACTCTCTTTCCTCGGAGACTCCGAGACTCACACACTCTTTTCCTTTAGATCTTGACTCAAATGTCAACTTCTCAGTGAGGCTGTCTCTGGCCATCCCACCTGAAACCGAACCCCATACACACACCAACACTCCCCAGTCACCACCTTGTTTTATTTTCCATCAGCGTCCGTACTGATATTTAATAGACCGTACACACTGAATTTATATCCTACTATCCGCCCAAGTAAAACAAAGGCCCCGCGGAGGACTGGGAGCTGTGGCTGCGTTGCTTACTGCTCTATGCTCAGGGCCTGAGCAGCACCCAGCAGGTAGTAGACATGCAATAGGTATTTGTTTAACAAGTGAATAAATGAACAAATGAACCAGCTACCTCGGACCAGCATTTCAGTTTATTTTTTCATTAATTTATTTTATTTGTTTATTTTTGGCTGCATTGGGTCTTCGTTGCTGTGCACGGGCTTTCTCCAGTTGCGGCGAGCGGGGGCCACTCTTCATTGTGGTGCGCGGGCTTCTCATTGCAGTGGCCTCTCTTGTTGCAGAGCATGGGCTCTAGGCGCACAGGCTTCAGTAGTTGTGGCACATGAGCTTAGCTGCTCTGCGGCATGTGGGATCTTCCCAGACCAGGGATCGAACCCGTGTCCCCTGCATTGGCAGGCGGATTCTTAACCACTGCGCCACCAGGGAAGTCCCAGCATCTCACTTTCTGAACGTGTGTGGCCACATTATCTTTCTCCCAAGTCACAGAGGACGGGCGAGCTCCAGGGCTGGACTGAGCCTTCCATTCTGAGTTTCGTGCTTGGCTGTGAGCACAATCAAAGTTCCGAGTGTCGCACGCAGCAATAATTAGCATCTTGGAAAAACCTCTTCCTTAGGCCTCCTTCCTCATCTCTGGGACGTTCTGAACGCTCAGCTGGCAACGTTGTACACTGGAGGGTCTTGATTGGGGTTTTAAAAACAAAGCGATGATGACAACATGTGCTCTTCACAGCCCTTCCCCCTCCAGGCCCTGCGTGAGCAGCGGCTGGGTTGCAAGGCCCTCTGACCCCTCAACTCCCAGGAGAACGGGTCTTCCCTCAACATGCGATCTATGTGGGAAACAGAAATCGTAAGTTTTTCTAAAGCTGGGGGGCAAGTTTATTTTTAAGTTACCTTATTCTATGAGGCAAGAAACACAGAGATGCCCCGAGGCTGAAGAAAAGAGCCAGGACCTGAGAGAAACACCAGAGACAGAAGTTTAATTAATTTTAAACCAAAGTCCAAATTATTCCATTTTATTCTGTTGATAATTAACTTTTTCTGTCTTCCCCTGTTGCCATGATAACCCGTCAACAAACAAGCGCTACGGGAGGAATGGGATGGGCTCGCGGTGGAGGCTGGGCCTTCAGGCCAAGGAGAGCCGGTCCCCCAGTCCAACCAGCCTGTCCTTCACCTGCTCCGTGGGCCCCTGCATCAGGGACTCAGACAGCAGCTTCCTGCATGTATTCTGGACACTGTCTCTGTGCCCCCTGGCCTGTGTACTGTGACTTCTCCCTCTGACTGGTATGACCATGCCTGCAGACCTTCACTTCCCCTCAGCCTCAGTTCCCGTAGCCCATCCTCAGGGAGGCCCCCCTGACCATACTCTAGACATTTCTACTCCACCTGCCCACCCACTGGATTGTCTGCACTTACTATCACTTATTCTTTGTTGTAATCATCACTATCTGATATGGTCTTGCTTATTCATTTGCTTACATACTGTCAGGCCCCTCCAGTGTTTCAGTGAACTCAGACTCTTCTGTTTAACCCAGCGAAATACCTAGTACCTAATCTTATGAATGTGTGAATTAATGATTGCACACAAGAGAATGAAGGCCCCAGGAACAGGACTCTGGCCTGCTAGCAACACAGAGAGCACTGGGCAGTAAGGCACAAACTCAGAATCACCGTTGCAGCTACACCAAGGAGTAGAAGGAGGGCTCTGTGTAGCCCTTCCCACAGCTGGCCTCTTCCAGCCCCAAATCGTATGTTTGCTTTGGTGCCTATAGCGTGATGTCCTATATCTGTACCACCCAGTCCAGCTACCAGCCACATGTGGCTAGGAAGCACTTGAATGGCTGCTGTGATTGGGGAGTTGGACTTCTCATTTTATTTTAATTAATTCAAAATTAAAAACTGATACTCGAGTCATCAGAAAACGTTTAGCTATATTTGGAACAATTGGGGTATGTGAATCTCCTTCTTCAACACTCAATTGTATGACCTCTACCTACAGATCAGGTGTTGCCAAGAAAAATTTTGCATTTGAGTTGAAAAGTGCTCTAAGTATAAAACACACACTGGATTTTGAAGGCTGAGTACCAGAAAAGAATATAAAATATCTTGTTAACGTTTGGTACAGATTACATGTCAACTTGATAATATTTTGGATATATTGGGTTAAATAAAATATATTGTTAAAATTGATTTCACCTGTTTCTTTTTAATGGGGCTACTAGAAAATTTTAAATTGCATCTGTGGCTCCCATTATATGTCTGTTGGACAGGGCTGCTGTCCTATAGAACTGAACTTCTGACTTAAAAACAGGCCCCATTAGAAATTTAGCAGGAGCAAAACCGCAGACCCGTTAGAAAGAAGAGCCTTGTACTTATCAGGCTTGACCCTGGGATAGTGGGGAGAAAGCAGGGGTGTGAAGGGCAGTGGGGTGTCCTTGGCCCACCAACCACACCATGGACACAGCCCACACCAGCAAACTGACCAGAAGACTCAAGTTCAAAGCTCAGAGTCCCCCAGGATCAGGTCATGAGTCTGTCCCACTGTCTCCCACAATCAGACCGTTTCATTTCTTCTCCTGAAAAGAAATATTCTTCCCCACTGCAATATGACATGCTGGATTTTTTATTTAGGTTAAAAAGAAACTCTCAAATTAATCTAGCTGTGTAATGATGGGCTTCCACTTACAGCCGAGAGTCCTGCAGAGACTGTTTGACCATTTTACCGAAAGCACCATCTAAAACCCGTGGAAAAGAAAGGCAGCCTTTTGAGCTAGAGCCCCGCCTTAGTGGGGAGACTTGGTGACCACCTCCTCCCACGTCCACTGATGGGTGACATTCCTACTCCTCTCACTGGCTCAGGACATCTGGACATGAGAGAAATAAACCACCAATCCCTTAGGAACATCTGATGCTTTTATTAGGGGAAGAGAAAATCTAATTTAAAAATTAAAAAAAAGAGAGAGAAAGCCAAATTACTGTACAAACTCCTTGACGCTCCTATTTATATGAAGCTCTTTTTATACCACAAAGCTCCAAAAATAATTAGCCATGCAGAAGAAAAAGCAAACAAATGAAACCTGAAAGCAAAATTCTTATGGAAAGGACTAGAAAAGAGGCTTGAGAGGCAAGAGGGGTCCAGAGTCTGGGAAACCTTTTATGGCATCTCTCAGACAATAAATTCTGCTGAGGAAAACGCCCTGGTGCGCAAATCATGACCCCTTGTTTTGAGATGTTGATGTTTTAAAGGCAGTTAAGCCTCACCCAGCAAGGAAAGAGTTAACGGACTTCACTGGGTCCATCACGAGCCTGTCTCTGTGGAATGAATGAACTGGGTTCACCTGCAGTTTGGACCTCTCCACCTCTGCCTCCTCACTAGCACCCCCACACCCCCAAAAAAGGTAATGGCTGAATCAAAACTCTCCTTCAGCCTGGGACAGTTTGTTTTCCAGACATCAACAGGCCTGGGCACCCATGCCTCTTGTTTCACACTTACCTCCCACCCACCGGTGAAACCGAGGGAGAGGGAAGCGTTATGAGCAAAGAGAAAAAAATACACAATTCCATTTTCTCTACTGAATGGTGTAGGCCAGGAGCCAGCCTTTTCCAACTGGTCCTTAGGTATACTCATCCCCCTCCTTGCTTCTACAGGTGAGGCTGTAAGGCCTTGAAATGGCAGGAACTTCCTCAAGGTCCCAGAGCCAGTTGATGGCAGAGCTCAGTTAGCACTCCAGGCCCTGGACTCCCAGGCCAAGGCTTTACATACCCCTGTTCTGTTCTCAATCGGTCTTCAAATCAAAGATTTCTGGAAACTTCCAAGCCCTACAACACAGGGGAATGGCTCACAAGGTTAATGTTCCCCTTGCCCTTCCCATCTCCTTCACCTGTTCACCCTTCCCCCAGGGCTCCCACCACTGCAGGTCATCTGGCTTCAGTCCCTCCCCCACGGTTCAGGGCCTAAGGCTGTCTGGGCTTAAGCAGGAGGCGCAAAGGGCTTAGGACACATTAGCTCCTGGCAAGAAAGAGCTGTCGTAACCACACCCTTCAAGAAAACTCAGTTTTCCGGCCTCCTATCTCCCACCCTTGCAGCTGGTCCGGCAGAGGCCTTAAACCCTCAGTGGCCCCGTGCCCTGACCCCCTTCGGGATCCTGGTCAGGGCTGAGCAAACCCTGCCTCTCTTCCCATGCCACTGGGGCCCTGCCACCTCCCACCATCAGTGAATTTCCTTTAAACATCATCATCATATCATCAGAGGCCTTGGGAGGCTCATCCCATCTTGCTGCAGATGGAAGATTCCAGTCTGCAGCCTGAGCTCGGAAGCAAAGCTCATTCTTCTTTCAAAATTAAACCTGCCTTAGGGCAAGTGGGGCAGCAATCCTTTGAAGACGCCCAAATTCACCTAAGGCAGGACTGCTTCCTCCTCTCCAAGCTAGCAATGGAGGCTTCCCCCCGCCAGCCCTCCCCCCGCCAGCCCTGTGCCCGGAGCTGAATATGCGAGGCCACTGTTGCCCCGTGTTCTGAGACAGAAGTGTTGGAGTTATTTGCATCTGACCTTCCCTCTGCCTGCTCCCCACCAAGGCTGCTCCCCCTTCCTCTTAATTATGCAGTAACGAACAACAGTGCTAACCGAACTTGGGGCGGCTACTTGCCTCTAAAAGTCAATAATTAGCCCCACGGGAACAACAAATACTTGCAGAGCTGCCCCCCCTTCCCATGGCTGCCGCTGGAAGCAGGCGGCCACTCCAAGCCCCGCTCTGGCGGGTCCAATCTGGAATGCGTATGTTTCCCTTCCATCACTCACTCCATCAAACGCAGGGCAGGCCCGAGGGTGCGGGGAGGCCGCTAGACTTCCCTGAGCGTCTCCCTCAGCCTGAGCAACCTCGTTATAAAGGGATGTTGTGTTCCCAGGTAACCAACAGCCCCCTGAGCATCTGGGAACACTTTGAGTGATTGCTGGGGAGAGAAGAAATTTGGGTCATAACTAATGATCAACATCCCCTTTTAATCAAATGAAGCCGTCATAATGTGTCTATCCTCCAGGGGAACAAGGCCCTTTCACCTCTTGGAGGTCTGCAGTAGCATTAACCTCTTCGGGTAAGACTCTTGCCCAGGTAGGAGGGAAGATGGACAGCTGTCAGACACTGAGCACCGACTGTGCTGAGCCTCTGTGCCAAGCAGCCTCCCATGGATTCTCTCCTTTCTCCCTGGGCCCGTGTCAGATCCGTGGTTCCCGGCCTTAAATCACCTGGAGGGCTCATCAAAGCCTAGGGTGCTGGCTCCACCCCAGATTTTAGCTTCTGTAGGTGGGGGATGGAGCCTGAATATCTGCACAACAGGTAAATTCCTGCATGATGCTGGTACTGCCAGCTTGGGGACCATACATTGAGAACCAGTGTCAGAGGATAAAAAAATACCTCTATTTAGGGTCTTCTATGCAAAACAGTCTTTACAAATATCGTGTCATTTAATCCTTACAGAAACCCTATGAAGTATGTGTTGTTGTTCCCGTTTTTACTGAAGAAAAAAACTGAGGATCAAAGAAACGTGAGCACTTGCCTGAGACCCTGTGATCGCACCGCTGGGGTGAAAGAGCCATGATTTAGAACCCAGCTCCCTCTGACGTCAAACCCTTGGTCCTGCCACAGAGGCAAGAGAGATTGCAAGTGTCAGAAGGGTTGAGAGGGGCAAGCTCGTCTCTCCGCAGGGGATCGGGGACACCGTGCCTGGCCTGTTTTTCCATCTGCTTGTGGAATACTGCCGCTGCAGCCCTGAAACCTTCAGGAAACACCCCCTAATCTTCCCTCTGATCCCCTGCTGCCGAGAGTCAGGGCCCCCTCTCCATCCTCCGCGCTCAGTCACCTGTCTTCACTTGCCCTCACTCGGCTTACGTGGGAGCATCCCCAGCCCTCCCAGCGCTATTTCTCCTCCCTATCTAGTTCAAGAAGGAGCTCCTCCAATAACCCAAGGATGCAACCAGCACCCCACCTCAGGGTCTCCAGGAAATGGCCTTGGATTCTCCGTCATGGCCAAGCTCAGAGCTGCTTGCCCAAAGCATGCACTGGCTTCTCAGGGGCGGTTTCTGAAAAAGCTGCTGTCCTCACGCCCCTGTGTTCCCAGGTCCCCAGACAACCCCTCAGGCACATCGCTCACCGCTCCTGATGCTTCTCCCCAGTAAGAATTGATGAGAACCTGCTGAGAAAAGGTGCAGGAGGCAGAGGAGAAGGAAGGAGAATGAAAGGGGCACCCCATGGAGCTCTTGCTGTGTGCCAGCTGTTGTTCGCAGTCTGTTCAATGTGTAGTAACTCGCTCCATGCTCACAGCAACCCTGTGAGGCAGACGTGCCAGTATGACCACCATTTACAGGGAGGAAATGGAGACACAGAAAGAGTAAGTAACCTGCCCCGTGTTGCACAGCTAGTGAGTGACAGAGCCAGGAACCTGGCTCCAGAGCCCACGCCTGCAACCATGCTCTCTCGGCAGAGGGAAAGAATGGGAACGAAGGATGAATTCCCTGATCCTTGCCCTCCAAGAGGCCCTAGCCCAGCCAGGGGGAAGTGAGAGCAGTCGTCCTGGCTGTGGGTCCTGTAGCAGCAGCAGTAGTCGTGGCCATAGCAGGAAGTAGTAGCATACCATTGGCATCAATATTGAAATCATTACAATAACAACAGTTACGGTAAAACAACTGCCATTTGTGGGGTGCCTCTAGCTACAGCGCGACACAGGATTGCACAGTGGGTGGGCGTGAAAATCCCAGAGCCAGGCTGGGTTCACATCCCAGCTCCTTTTCATAATAGACTGCATGACATGAGGCAAATCGGTCAACCTCTCAGCCTCAGATTTCTTGTTTATGAAATAGGGCTGAAAATACTACCTACCTCCTGCATGTCTTGTAAAGATTGAATGAGAAAATCCATGTCGAGTACTTAGTACAGTACCTGGAACACAGTAGATTCTGCATCCATGTTGCTAGGTAGGAGGGTGATAGAGGCAGAAGTGCGTTAGATAGGGCATCTGCCTCTGAGTCCTGGCATTTGGTGAGGGCGACAGGCACCATGTGAACGCGAGGAAAAGCCCAGAGAGGACAGCATGACTCAGGGCAAACGCCTCTGAGTGAAGGATCTGGGAAGGCTTGGAGGGCGGCATTGAGATTGGATTTGAATAGGACCTTCAACATGACACCTGGTGAGGGACCGCCTAGCTCGTCAGAACGAGACTGTGCAGACAAGGTGCAGGTCACTCCCCCAGCTCTTTTCCCCTCTGTCCGCCCACCAGAGCCGCAGCCCAGCCACCAACCCTGGCCGCCCAGCCTCCCTGTGCCCTCCTGCCCTTGACTCCATTCTCCCTCGTCTCTTAAATGTCCTGCTACCCGCCCCTTTGCAAAGAGCTGAAGTCCCTCATACAACCCTAGTACTCTTAGATGGTTTTATGCGGGCAAGACTGTTAGATCAGCTGGTTAAGAGGGTCCCAGCTAGGCTCACTGCTACCATGTTTTTGAGCCCCCAGGGCTAGGCCATGCTTTGGAGCCAGCTTCTTCCCTACTGTCAGTCCTGCGGGGGCTCTGAGGGCCCTGGCTGCCATCCAGGAAAGAGAGGCGAGAGGCTTCAGTCAGCTCTATTGACACAAGGCCTGAGTGCACTGGCTTAGCCTCCATGGGCCTGGCTGTGATGTGTCGGCCTCCTGGGCCCTGCACCTGGAAGCCCGTCAGGCTTCCTTCCATGCAATCGTTCACCCACTCAGGAACTTGAGCTGAGTGTCTCTCGATCCACCCTGTGCAAGGCACTGTGGAGGATATGAGACGAGTCCCCACCTGCCAAGAGCAAGAGAATGTCACCTGAGGTCACACAGCAAGCTTCAAACCCAGGGCTGTGTGACCCTTCCCAATACTCCGATTGCCTCTCTGTAATGTCAGCGTAAAATCAGGAAGGAGGAAGGGAAACACATGGGGCTGAGATGATCAGAGAAGGCTTTTCGAGAGGGGTGAGACTTGTTCTGGACAAGGGAGTGAGCTGGATGAAAATGGGTGGAGGTGAGGGCATGGCAGAGGAGAAATGCTGGGAAAGGTAACAGCAGGAACAGAGATGAGAGGGCTGAGAAGCACCCGGTGTGTTAGGGGGACAATAAAGAGACCCCTGGGGCTGCAGGAGGCTCCCCACCTGGTAGATGGGGTTGGAAGTGCTCACGGGGCTGGTCAGGAGGGTCTGCCTGATTTGACTAACGGTACTTTCTTCTGGATATAGTGGGGAGCCACTGAAGCCCTTTGACCAGAACTATGCGATGGGAAGTAGCCCCCAGGAAAATCTCGTTGGCTGGGCTGCGCTGGCTGGATGGGTGAGCAAAGACCAAGGAAGAGATGCTACTTCAAATGTTACAATCACCCCGAAGGAACAGCGGTTTTGTTTAACAAATTTCAAAGTTATGAACAGACAATGTTTGGGTGGGGTCTTTTTTAATCCAAACTACATTTCATTAAGATACGATTTTCTAAATGTCAGGAAAAACTGTCCATGTTAACCTCCAACTGTGAACCCATGACATGGGCTGCAAAGCATCTTACTGCTGCCCAAACTGCAATAAAATAGAGCTCTTGGTTCAAGAAGTCAGGGCAAGGAGTGCCTTCTGAACAGCCTTCCACTTAGCGATGCAGCGTTCCGCTCGAGAAATCCTTCGCTGGATCTATTTTAATAACATAATGAAGGCCCTGCAACCCTGTCCTTCAACCTTCCCTGAGAATGCACCCCTAAGTGCCTCAAGATGTCCAAGGAACATCAAAGGAAAGGAGAATTATTCTTTGGATATACCGTAGGATACAAATCCTGATATCCCACTGCTGGAAACAAAAAGCCAGGGCAGCTCCCGCGGTGCCCATAAAAATTATGGACTCAGAAGATTAACTGGCTCCAATGCTACAACGCTCTAGCCAACCGTAACCTGGCATTTTACATTGAAGAAAGGAAAAAAAAAAAGATGCCTTTATTAATACTGCTTGCCAAATTTCCCATGAGACCTGAGGAAGGACTCCCTTTGGCCTCCCTCTGCTTGGAGCCCTGCGCTAGAAACTGTTGCACCCTCATTAAAGTGGGGCCAACCGGAGGTGTCTGGAGAAGGTTCCCCGCGGAAAATGAAGGGCCTGCTTTCTGCCAAAACATTTACCTCTTTGTAACTCACATGCCGCACGCCAGGTTGAGTGCACAGGCTGGACCTCATACCTTCTCAGAGCGCATCCCACGAGGTCATCTGGTCCCCACACGGTGCCTGTGAGGCAGGGGAAAGACAGGTGTGACAGGGACGGTTTTATAGCCGTGGCGGCCCAGTCTCAGGATTGCCGCTGTTGAGATGTAGATAGAAACAGCTAGAAGAACAGTATTCCTGGCACGAGCTGGAAAGAGGACAAGCAGCTCTGGCCTCAGCTGTCAGGTGGCTCTCAGGGTCCCAGTTAGAGAAGGAGACTAACGAGTGTGAGACAAGATGAACGCTCTGCCGTTCCTGCCGCCGCTGACAAAGCTGGTTAATCCCGGGACTCCTGTTCCTGCCTCTGTGCTGAGATCCCAGCAGCTGGGAAAACACAACCGGCCTCATCTAGGCAGCAAATCTTTCTGAGTAGCCACTGTGCACCACGTTCCCCAGAACATGCATTGTGGGCAAAAGGATGTTCCCGAGTCAAAGGGAGGGATAATTTTCTTCAGAAGAATATACACTATAAGAAAAGAAAGTGAGTGAGACAAGTAATATAGAATCTCCTTTAATGCCAACCACTTTTCTTCCAAATGCTCAAATTCTCAAGTGCTGCCTTGAGGCCCCAAGCCTTCCCACTTGCTACGCACATGTACACAAACACACACACACACACACACACACACACCCCTGAATGCCCGCCCCTTTCAACGGCACACAACACAACGGTGGCCGCACCTCGTACCACAAATGCGGGCACTGCTGGAAGGAGGACAGAAAAGTCACTAGTGCCCTTGAACCCAGCAGCCTCCTGCCGCCACTGCGTCTCCATTGCCTCCTTGGAATCCCGCTCCTTCCCAGCTCTCTCTCTCCCTCTGGGCCTGCGGCATTCCGATCGCTTTCCGCTCCAGGTTACACGTGGAGCTATACTTCTGTTCCATCGCCCTCATTGCCTGCACCACTTCCAGCTGCATTCTTTCATTGGCTCGCTCTGAGCTCAAGGGCAGAGACTGTTTCGTCCCTCTTTATATCTCTAGTGAGAGAAAGACACAAGAAAATGCTCCAGAAAATCCTGCTAAATAAATGGATACACGGGTGGATGAGGGGGTGGGGGGGGTGGATGGATCAATCGATCAACCCATGGGTGGATGAATGAATGCATGAATTAATTCCCGTGGCAGCACCGAAGCCCTGGTGGTCAGAAAGTTAATGTCCCTGGGGCTTGTTCGTTGCCATACATGCTGTCCGAATCAAAAGGCCTTCCCTGGAATGCCACAATTACCTCATTACATTGTCGTGGCAGCAGCTCAAGGAGGGAATCAGCTGGTGCTGCCTCTGGCACCCCGGCCTGGCACAGGTTTGACTCTGCTCTCGGAAGCAAATGCGGTCTTTCTGTTTGGGGGCTGCAGTCTCCTTAAGGGTCATCTTCGGAGATTTGGGACCTTTTCCACCTCCTTTGCATCAGGATCCAGAACTCAGTTTCTTAAGGAGGTCAGTGTTCACCTCAACTGTGGACACCAAACAGGGGCCTTGAACTGGGCCTGCCCCTAACCAAGCCCGCCCTCGCCCCCAGCGCTTCCAAGAGGAAGAGAATTTGATTTTGGAGGTAGTGAATTTTTCCCAAGTGTGGGATGGAAGTTTTCCCATAAAAGCAGCCTGTGAAACAGAGCTGCCCTCAAGAGCTGGCACACGACCCCAGTGATGGATATGAACCTAGAAGACACACCTCACAATGCTCTTCTAGGGGACAGCAAACCTGTCCCCCCAGCCAACTCAACCTGCACCTCCCTGAACTTCCCCAAATCCCTGGAGCAATGCATAGCAGTGCCAAAGACACAGTTCTCCATCTGGGCCTCTCCAAACCCAAGAGTTACAAAACTAAAGAATGGCAGTGTCATGAGGATATCACAACATTTGTCACTATCTCCCAACCCACACTCCCATTGTACAGATGGGGAAACTGAGACCCGGAGAGCATTAGATCTCCTGCCACCGAGCCCAGGCTCTCTGCCCCTGGCTGACAGCTGAGGCTAGATGTGGTTCACAGCATGGGGGTCACCAATGGTCAGGGGCTGGGGCTAGGAGGCCTAGAAATTTCAGAAGGCCACCATTCCCCAGCATGGGCTTCCTGCTGAGGCCACTGAGTGGAGGAAATAATAATGGAGATTGAAAGGCATTCTGTATTTGACCTTCTGCAACCCACCGTTTTTCAGTAGAACCCGATAGGAATCAGTCACATCTGCTCTCAATAGCAAATGTAAAAAATGACCTGCAGCTTTAAGGTCTGAAAAACATAAACTTGTGTTAAAAGACTGACAAAAAAAATTCCTGCACTCCCTAGCATGATGTCATTCAAGTGCACACACATTGCAATAACAATCGTCCGTCAGGGCCCAGGCCCTGGACCTGAGCTCTCTCCTCCTGGGAATCACAAGCTGCTCTGGTCCCCCTGCATGTCAGCCGTGTGGCTGGTCACATAGTGGGCCTGTGACCCCACGAGGCCCCACTAGGCCCTGAGCTACAGCGGGTATCAGCTTAACTCGCTCCCCACTTCAAATGCTCTTGTGAGCTGTGGGAAGGCTGATGGGAGGCGCATTCTAGAAAGCCCAGAACAAACTCAGCTCTGCCAGAGATCTGGGGAGCAGCCTGAGCTGGCCAGAGGTCAGTGGGTCTTTAGAAGTCAGGAAGCTCCTTGTCGGCCACGTGGGCGAGGCCCTCCAGGCCACTGCTCTGTGTGCAGTGCCACCGCTCCGTGGAAGTACGGTGATGCCGCCGCATCCCCACACGCTCCGGCCAACCCCACTTACGTCATCTGGAGTGTGGGAAGCTCCTGACTGAGGGAAACTCGGGAAGACAAACTTAGGGGACACGAGATAGCCCACTAGATCAGCGCCGGTGACCTTCACCCCACACTTGTCCAAGACACTGTCCTGGGCCAGGCACTGTGCCTGGGGCCCTGGAAATTGGCAAGGGTCTCGGCCTTCAGGAACTCATAGTCCAGACAGAGAGGCAAGATTCGCCCAGACCACACATGTCCAGGGCTTAAGTGGAACATCCAAGGACCAAAGAAGGGAGAATGCAGAGCGACCAAAGAAAGGAAATCCACCAACTCCAGACCCCAGCAAACACCGTGATGAGATCAGTTTGCTAAGCTAGACGACACTTCACTGCTTGCCTCAACGTTAAATCATAACCCACAGGGGCCAATGGCCGCATGTTCTCATTTGTTGCCCTCAAGATGGAGACAAAGGCAGTCAGCCTCCATTTAGCACCTACCGTGGGTCACATATCAGGCTGGGCACCTGCATACCCCCCTCCTCCTTCAGTGCTTCCGACAGCCCAGGCAGCAAGGTGGGACGTGGATGCCTTGGAAGGCTCAGGAGGCAGATTTTGGGGGTACATTTGTTTCTGTTCCACCTGGAAGAGCTCACTTGTGCTTCCCAGAAGGAGCAGAGCTCAGCCAGGCCCTAAGAGGCAGGAGAGCAAATTCCACACCACCTACTAGTCCAGCCAGTGGAGTCTGTTTGGTGACACAGCTGACTGGGCTCAGAATGATGTGTTGGCCTGGGAGTTCCTCTACTGAAACAGAACTTCAGCGGCCTGGTGGTTCCCATGCTTGTGGAATATGGTTTGATCTGTCAGTTCATAAAAAATACAGGGAT